AATAGATTCTCCAGTCCACACAGCTGGGTGTACCAGGGGTGGATCTGGGAAATATGTTCAGTAAATGTCTGTCTGGTTCCCCTTTACCTGACAGCCCAGCAGAACAATTACTGTCGCTACCATCAAGACTGGGGTCCTGTTTTTTCCTAGGAGTCGAATTATTCGGGAAGCCTGTGTTGTTAGCTTCTTCATGTCTTCCCATGAAATCAGCTTTTTGGCTGGGTCAATCTGGTTTATCTTTTCTTTTCTTTTCTGATATCTCTTCCTTTTGAATGGGGGCTTCTCTGGGTCTATATTCAGTCGCTTGAATCTCAGTTCTATCTCTTCCATGTCTGATTGCGCATTCAGGCACCCAGATAGGATGAAAAGCACCTTCTGGAAAAATACAAGCATGACCTCTGCCCCATATAATCACTGGGTCTGCGCCTTTCCATTGACCAGTCTGTAAATCTTTCCTCAAAACTCTGCCTAAAGGGCTTGTTACTGTGGGAGACATTTGTCTCTCAGCCGAAGTGTGACCTTCTACATCACGGTTTAAAAAAGTTAAAGCATGATTGAGGCTATTTTGGGGAGTCTAAACCTATTCTGCTCCTTTAATTTTTGTAATTGAAGCTTAATAGATAAATGAGCTCGTTCCACAATGGCTTGACCTTGGGGGTTATAGGAATTCCTGTTTTATGATTAATTTGAAACTCTTGGCAAAATTGTTGAAAAGAAGAGCTTACATAATCTGGTGCATTATCTGTTTTGATCTGCATAGGGCACCCTAACACAGGAAAGTCTGCTAGGCAATGAGAAATTACATGTTGAGTATTTTCCTTTATACGTGCTGTGGCAAAAATAAATCTGAAATATGTATCAACTATTACATGTACATAGTAATATTTGCTAATATTTACTCCTCATTTACTTACCAAATTGAGGAATATAAGTTACATCCATTTGCCATATTTGATTTGGTTTTAACCCATAGGGATTTACCCCTGATGGTGGAGATGGAGAGTGAATAACACACTTAGGGCATTGACTTACAATTTGACGAGCTTGTTCTCTGGTAATACTAAATTTTTTATGTAAGCTAGAAGCATTTTGATGATGCAAGGAATGGGAAGCTTGTGCACAATCATATGAAGACATCTGTTGACAAACAGCTACTAATATATCAGTCTTGTCATTACCTGAAGCTAAA